GCATACGTGTAAGCCCTAGTAGTGAGCCAAGGTAGGCCCATTACAAAGGCATTTCTGATGAAGACGATGGACAACACGCACGTTCGGCTGGTCAAAAATCTCGTCACGTCTTACGACATCTTCACCTTCATCTGCGAGAAGTACGAGGGTGCTGCCTTCCACGGCGACCCCTACTTCATCCAGCACTACCTGATGGAGATCAAGTACGAGGAGGGCTCTGATCTCACATAGTTCTTCCTTAAGCTTGAGAACGCGATGAAAGCCGCGTCGGAAGCCACCGAATCGGTGATGACGGAGGGACAGAAGTCAATCTAACTGTTCCACTCCATGCCCAAGTCGTGGAAGGATGATCTCCGCGTTTGGAAGGGCCAACGGAAGTACATTCCATATGAGGACCTCAAGCAGAGTATTGAGGGCAAGGTGCGCGACCTCCAAGCCCAAGAGCGCTACACATTGGCGAAGGGCACACCGAAGACGACAGCGACCAAGAGCGACCGTGCCCTGGTTGCGGTTGGACCTACAAGTACTTCGCCCACCCATGGCAACAGCTACAACAATACCTGCTCGTACTGCGACCGCCCGCGCCACGCTATCCGTCACTGCAGGAGCCTACAGAAGGACCTGCGGACTGGACACGTGAAGGCCGGTACTGTACTGCCTGCGAACGTTGTGTTCAAAGGCAACTCAAAGCGTGAGTACCCGAAGAACAAGGGCAAGAACAAGCGCAATGGAAACGGTGCTGGTGGTAACTACAACGGCAATCGTGGCAAGGATCGACAGCGCCAAAACCGCCAAGAAAGCTCTGATTATGATGACTACCGTCGGAGCAAGTCCCGCGAACGCAAACGCCGCCAGGACGACTCGGACGATGATGATGAAGCCGATGGCAACCGTCGTAAGGTATTTCGCCAAGAACGCCGCGAGTCCGGCCTGATTGCTGTAGCCACCGCCATCAACCCGCCTCTGAGTCTCACAGCTCAAGCCAACGTTGATATGGACACCACGTGGACCATTGATTCTGGATGTACGCGTCATGTGACGCATGAAGCCCAGTGGTTCTCGAACATCTCTGCCAGTGGTAGTTCCATCACCGTCGGCGGAAAGAATCAAATCCCGATTGAGGGTATTGGACGCGTTGAGCTGGAAGTCATCGACTCCAAAGGCAACATGATGACGCTCATCCTCCACGGCGTCGTCTACGCCCCACAGCTGCACTTCAGCTTACTCTCAGTCTCGGCTGCCGTGAAGCACAACTTTCGCTTCAGTTTCGATCGAAAGCAGTGTGCCATGCAGACTGATGAACACTTCAGTATCAAGGTGCCAATGGCGACGAACACGGATCTGTATCAGTTCCAGGCCAAACCTGCGGTGATTGCATCGGCACTCATTGCCACGTCGGGTAAGCAACGCTCTCTTCTGCTTTTACACAAACGTCTTGGGCATCCTAACGTTCGCATCTTGCATGATCTATCTAGGAGCCAAGCCATCCGTGAACTCGAACGCACTGCGTCTGTAAACCCGAAGGAGCCATTCTTCTGTACGGCATGCACGCTAGCGAAGTTTCACCGCTCGCCCTTCTATTCGAATAGAGTAGTTGACCATGCCACAGCACCATTGGAAAAGGTTCATACAGACATTTGTGGTCCTTTACCTGTGCCTAGCCTTACTGGTTGCCGTTACTTCGTGATCTTTATCGATGATTATTCCCGATTCATGTTCACATATCCGATAAAAAACCGGAGTCGTCTCTATGAGTGCTATGAAGACTTCAGAAAGAAAGCCTTGAACATCTTTAGACACGACATCAGTGTGCTTGAGTGGCGTCCGTGTGCTATCGAAGAACACGACATCCAGGTTCTCCAGGCAGATAATGCCAAGGAATACGAAAAGCTTGGATGTGAAATCTTCCGGAAGTACGGCACACACGGACAATTCACAAACGCGTACACTCCGCAACAGAACGGAGTTGCGAAACGTCGCATGAGAACTATCATGGAACGGGTACGGGCCCTACTGCTTGACGGTAAACTTCCGAAGCAACTCTGGGGAGAGTGTGTCTGCCATGTTACGACCTTGATCAACATGACCCCTAGCCCAAAGACTAACGGCCGTACACCCTATGAGCTCTGGTACAACCGGATTCCATCCATGCAGTATGTCGTGTAGGAAAACACGAGTTTACGAGTCCTCCCCCTATCAACCGAAGTCTCTAGGACGAGCCCTACCAACAACTCACGCCGTCTCCGAGGAGTCGGCGGTAGATTGTCGGGATAATAAACCTGAAGACCAGGTCCGATCCCTTATACGGGCTGGAATGTGCCTCCCTGTGTGTTGCGGGTCAGGTAGGTTTACCCTTCGTTAAAATATAAGAGCACCCTTAGCCACGAGCTACGGCTAGGACGCAATGTGTAATACGTGCTTTCGCACTAAACCGCTGTGGTCCCTCAGAAAGGAAGAGTACCAGGCCAATCGAAGCATCTTACAGGGGCGCCGGGGCGAAGCCTCGGCTAGAAGTCAAATACACTGGGGGGTCTTTGCCTCACACCCAGGCAAACGTACAACTGTACACGGAGGTCTCTAATACCTCCCAACACTCGGTCACCTACTCACTCTTGGCCTTACCAGGATGAACACTCGGTCAATGCACCTTATGCTCACCGGCAGACATACCCCGTGCAGCCGAGTGTATCCAGACCCTACGCTAAGCTAAGCGACTTACCATAGACGGACTTGACTCTTGTGTGGTTTGGGGAAAAAATTCTGCTCTGTTTAATTATTAGAGGTTGTCAGGCCTCTCCTATAGCTAACCCCTAAGGTCTATACAAATATCAAGTGTGGACCGAGCTTTCGAGCTGGACAAAACTTCGTTCTAAATCCGAACTCCTACTGCGCATAAAGTGTACCCACTATGAAACTTCAGAGGCCTCGGCAGGCGGTTTATTTTGACCCGCCGAGACCCTCCTGTCACTCCGTAGTATCTATCAATCATCTGGGCACTAAAGCGCGGGGAATGTGACCGACCAATCAGAGCCCTCGGTCAGCCATCACTCGCAAGCTCAAGGCAGTTAGACCTCGGTCGGAACTCGCCCGGCCGCAGTCATTTCCCGATCTCACAGCCCCGAGCCGTCCCAAGTGGTGAGTGCCGTGTTGCCTTCGTGCCTCTCTGCGTTCCGCCGCCATGCAGCCCTCTGGCGGTCCTGGCAGCGCGCCGCCCTTCACCTTCCCGGACCTTGGTCCAGTCGTCCAGGTGAGTCTTCGTGCGAGGTGCTTGAACGCTGTGCCTGATCTCTTCATCGTGTCTAACCGTCTTCAACTTGCTGCGGCTTGCTGTAGAACACTTCATTCCTCAGCCCGGCGGGGCACGTCGTCGACTCTTCTGCGCCAGCCTCGGAGGCCTCGGCGGCGTCAACTCCCGCCTCTGCGTCGGCAAGCGGGGCGCTTCGACGGCCCCAGGCTTCGGCTGCAGTTCCTGTAGCTTCAGCGCCAGGGTCTGGTGCTGGTAGCAGCGCCGGAGCTGCTCCGTCACCAACTCCCGTCTCTGCAGGAGCACGCGGGGTGACGGGCAGTCTCCAGGCCGCACCTTCGGTCGTCGCGCGCCAAGCTTCGGCTGCAAGCACCGGAGAGACTTCGGCTTCGAGTGCAGTGGCTCTGACGTTGCCAACTCCCGCTTTGCCGTCCGCTAGCGGGGCTTCGTCGGACCCTGCGTGTACTCAGCTGGTCCTCAGGTCCTCGCCCGACTCCAGTCCTCTGCACGATCCTTCGTCAAATACTGCGCACTTCTGCCGCACGGGTGACCCGCTGCCTGCAACTGCGCACGAGGCCTCGGGGCTTCCTCCGCGTTCTTCCGCACAGTGGTATGCTGCCGAAGACATCGTCCACCACGAGGTGCAGGCTGCGGTCGAAGAGCTTCGCGAGCACTCGCAACGACGCTTCGCAAACTTCGCTCAGCTGATGGTCGGCTTGGTGCGTCACCCTCCGCTTCGTGTCGACTACGAGCTGGACCAGAGGTTCGAGCGCGCTCAATCCCTCGGCGAGGTAGTCGAGGCTCTCAATCCTGACCCTTGCGGGCTGCTTATGGGCTGGGACGAAGAGATGCGCAAGCTTCGGCTCGAGGTTCAGTACTTCGAAAGGCGCGCTCAACACTTCGAGTTGCTGCTCAATCAGGAGACGGATCTCAAGAATCAGGCTCAGATCCTGTGTACTCGAGCCTCGTTCGAGCGCAACGAGCTCTTCGAGGTTGTCAAGTCGCTTCGCCACGAGCGCGACGCAGTTTGGCGCCAGCTGAGGAAGCACAACACTGCCATGGCTACGAACGACGAAACGATCGCTCTGCTGAGGTCACAGTGTGAGCGCTACGAGGCTTCGCTCAAGGCTTCGGACTCGTTTCTGGTGAAGGATCGTGAGCTCTTTAAGTCGGGTCTCCAAGAGTATAACCGCAACATGCGGCAACTCCGAAGCCTGCTCGTCAACCAAGCGCGTAGCCAACCGGAGGCTCAAGAACTCGTTCGTCGCATGGATGACAACGTCCTGCCCAGAGTATTCGATGCTTTCTTGGAGGTGTTCAACTCTGCGTACTCCGCTCTAAGTGTGGTTTCTGCAACTCCAAGTTCTCGTGAATCTTCGTTTCGTGCTGGCACTACTCGCCGTCGAGCTGCTGCTCCGGCTGATGCCCAAGCCGATGTCTCGATGGAGTCGGCTGAGTCAGGCAATGACTCGGATGACGAGTCGACCAGTCCTCGCCCAGTCAAGCGTTGTAAGCATGCTCATCACAAGTCTCGGGAGACGCAACAGACTGCGCGCGCGTCTTCTCGTACGTGTGTTGCATCTTAGCGAGCTACAAGACTCGGTCGTTCTCCTGTCAACCGGCAGGAGAGGGCTCGTGCTAGGTCAACTTCTCGTCCGTCGTCACCCGCGGCCCCAGTCGAGTCTGCGGCTCCACGGGCTCAACCTGTGGCGTCATAATCTTCGGCGGTTGGTTCGGCTGCTTCCAGCACAATTCCTCCGGCTTCTCCTCACCCTTCCGGGGCTTCTACTGCCCTCTTTTCCGACTCGTCAGAGGCTGAGGTCGAGTTCGAGACTTCGGATCGGAATGAGGAAGTTGAGGACAAGCGTTCTGCTGAGAGTTCGCCGTTCGAGGCTTCTGTCGTAATTCCGCCGCGTCGTGACGGGCGTCCAGTTCGTCCGGCTTCGACTACGTCTGCTCTCCGCTCCATGTCAGATGTTGAGCGTGAGAATGCACCAGATGACGATGTCATCGGCGACGTCACTGCACCAAGCGCTAGCGAGCCCTCGGCTCCGGCTTCTCCTCCACGTTTGCGTTCCCAAGGTTCGGCTGGCCGAGGCCGACAGCGCAATTCTCGTGTCCAAGTTGTGGCAACTCTCTCTGCGGCAAGTACGCCGAGATGTCAAGCTTCGCTCGGGCTTCTACCCCGCCAGCCCCAGTCCACGGGAAGCAACCCCTCGTTCGGGTGTCCCGCAAGCTGCCCGATACTGCGACTCCGTTCCTCGACCTTCCGTTCCAAGCATGTGGGGCCAAGCCGTGCTGGTGCATCATCCAGAACGTTCGGATGCCTCGGCCTATTGCTGGTGACGTGATGGTGGAGTGCTCGGTCAAGGGCATAGAGGAGTGGTCGGACTGAACAAATCCGAATCACCCATTCCAGAGGGTTCTCGCCAGCATGCCGGACGAGCCCTGCCTGTTCGAAGTTGAGGTGTTCATGCCGGTCGTTCCAATTTCAATTCGCGCCGAGGTTCGAGCGCTGTTGGTAAAGCTTTGGTGGTAGTTCACGGGTCGATCTGTCGGCCGTACCGAGTAGAATGACCTGGGCTTCTCATTGTTCGAGCGAGGGCATTGGATTTCGACGACTGCCGTGGAGCGTTTTCTCCAGGTTATGGCAGAGGCCTTCGGTGAGGACTCGCCTGAGTACTGCGCGATCCTGGCGGCGTGGGTCAAGTACAACCGCGAGCGCAACAACCGGGCGGACCGCCTGCGTCTGCAGATCCCGAAGCGCTGGTGACAGTGGTGCTTCCCAGACTTCGCTGGTCACATCTCGTGCGAGACCGAAACCATGCTCGAGCCTTCGGTGCTCCAGTATTCGTTCGAGAATTTGACGTGGGCTCCTAGGTCGGACGAATGGGTTTCGGAGTGCCTCGAGCTAGATGGACACCAGCCGTGGCGCAACTGTTGGGTGGATGTACCGTCCGAGCACCCGTACAACACAACCTGCGCTCCGTGCAACCCCAGGGTTCCACTTTTCGTTCCGCGTGGCATGACCGTTCGTGAAGTCGCGACAGCTATTACGGTCAACCCAATGCTGGACCCTCGCCGTGTTACGGCCCCGTGGGTGCGTGAGTTCACGAACTTCCACGGGCCTCCTTTCGGTCTGCAGGAGGAAGAGCAGCCGGTTGAAGACGAGGTCTCGGAAGAGGAGGAGGCCGAGGAGCTGATCGAAGAGATCGAGTCTCTGATTGCTGAAGCGTCTTTGGAAGAGGCTCAGGACGAGTCTCGCCGCGCCGCGGATGCTCAAGAGACTTCGGACGAAGCTACACAAGCGCTAGGAGCTCAAGATGCAGCAACGGCAACGCAGGACTCGGTTCAAGATCGCGTCGCGGCTTCGGAGGCCCCTGTTGAGGAGGCTCCAGCCAGCGAGACTCCGGCTGACGTGCCACGTTCGCCTCCAAGTGCTGCTGATCAAGCTGCCACGCAAGCCGAAGCTTCTCCGGCTGCGCGTCTCCGCGATTTGGTCAAGGTTGCCTCGTCTTCGGACGCCTAAGCTGCGTTCCAGTTCTCCATCGTTCCTTCATGTTTAGGTCGAGCTCGCGCGATGACTCCTCGTCCGACGAGGACGACAATGACAACATCGACTATGAAGATAGGTTGTTGGACAGCCCGAGCGATGAGTTGGCCCGTCAAGTGCGCGAAGTAAGTGAGATGGAGCGACTGAGTTCGACTCCTCGGCTCGAGATTGCTACACACCGGCCGCTTGCGCAGATCAAGAATTTCTCAGGGGCCCGCAATCGGACTGAAAACTCTATGCAGCGGCTCCGAGCTTTCGTCTATGGGATGAAGGGAACGCACACCCCGCCAAACGAGTGGTGCATGGCTTTCGAGCTGAGCCTTCGGGACGGTGCCCATCACTGGTACCGTCAACTCCCGAAGAGGACTAAGCGTCAGTGGAAGCGACTGAGCGATGCGTTTATCAAGTATTACTGCTCGCAGTTTAGCCAGTCCGCGAAGGCTCGCTACTACTCTGCGAAGCGCGAGTCCTCGGAACACCTTTGTGACTACCTCAACCGACTGAATGGTTATGCTCGTAATGCTGGCCTTCAGTTCGAGAGTGGTGGTCGCGATGCGAAGGACCATGTGCAGCGGTTCCTCGAGACGTGCGGTGACCGAAGCCTCGAACGCCGGCTTTGCCACGTCCGGGTGAAGGACATTCACGAACTCGAGGACATGATCAACGACATCTTGAAGTCTGAAGCGCGTGGGCAGTCGCGCGAGACCTCGTCTCACTACTCGCGCAGTCGAGACCAACCGCGTCGTCGTGATGACCGTCGCCACGAAGCTTCGCGTGACAGTAACCGTCGCGACCGCGACCGTGGTTACGAACGTCGCCGCGAAGATTCCCGCCGCCGCGATGACTCGCGCCATGTTCCGCGCATTTCACTAGCTGAAGCTTCGCTGTCAGACTTGGTCGCTGAACTGCAAGTGCGCGGTACCAAGGGTAGCGCTCGTCGCCACGTCGCACCCCGTACAGCGTCAGCGAGAGTGACGCCAGTGATTATCATTACTCCGAGAGCGATCCGAGTGATGGTGGCTACAGTGACGTTAGCAGCTCTGGTGAGGAAGGAGCTCACGTCGCTGCTGCCAATGAGCGCGAGCGACGCCAAGCAGCTGAAGGAACGTACGCGCGCCCTGACCAACGTCAACGCAAGGGTGGTTAACCCAGCCGAGGATTCGACCGGAGTAACCGCCACTCCGGCCGAGACAACCGTGATGCGTCAGTACGGACCGTGCGCAGCTTGTGGTGGAGTCGGGCATTCGGCTCACTACTGCTACCGCCGCTGCCGACTGTGCCAGCAGGTGCATGACATCGGCAAGTGCGAAGCACTTCAAGCCCTCAATTCGTACATCAAAACGAAGGCCGAGAAGAAGGACCTCTCGCCAGAGCTCCAAAGCCTAGTCTTCGGTGGCAATTTAAACTAGGCAGCTCGCCAACTGAAACTGGGTTGGTCCCAATCGGGCTGCCACAGTTAGCTGAGCCCGCGATTGATGCAGACTGTGTCTACGCATTCGTGGGCGAAAGCAAACGGCCGAACGACAAGGACAAGGAATGTGTGGAAACGACGGAAAATGAAAAGGAGAGAGGGGCAACCCTCGGTGGAGGTGTAACAAGTGAAATGAATGATGATGAAGATGATGAAGATGGCACCGAGGCTTGGGTCTCAAGTGCGGTGCAAGAAGGACGCCCTGGCCGAACGCCCAGTGTGGTGACGAAGTTACTCCCAGGTGAGAGGCTGGGGTGGTGGTCAGCGCAGAAGTTCGACACGAGAGCTCGGATGAGAGCTCTGGTCAAGGGCGCGGTGAATGACACGCGAACGAGGATTCTATTGGACACTGGCACGAATGTTAGTGTGGTATTCGAACGGTTCGCGAAGCAGTTGCGGTTGCGTGATATCCAAGGTCACGGCCGCTGTATGGAGGTTAAGGGTTTTACGAAAGGAACCATGACAACCGAGAGACGAACTCTCGTGACAGTAACCCTCGGCTGGAGCAGAGTGTGCGAATTTGAATTGTGGATTATGGATCATGGTGCTGGCGTGGAAGTAGTCCTCGGCACCGACTTCATGATTCCTGCAGGAGTGCGCTTGACTTGTTCCACGCGACCGCGAGGTTGCCGGACGAGGTGAGTATTCCACTCATTAAGACGCTGAACATGCTGAATGACCAAGGTGAAGGCCTGCACGTCAACGGTGGTCCGTCCGAGGATCTAACCATTGAGAGCCGAGAGTTCGCAGAGTACAGAGTACCGAGGCGTCAACCACCTCCGAATACACACGAGGTGTGGGTACGTCGCACGAAGTCTCTGTTGCCTATGGTAACGAAGTTTCGGCGAGGCAAGGTCGAGATAGTGCGGTTGACGAACGTGTCGAAACGTTTTACGGTTTGTCGTGCTCACTCGACGATGCTAATGTGGGTACCGGTTGGAGATCTCCCGAAGGCTGAAGGCTATGTTCGACTCAGTTCGGAACGATACGAGGACTGGCAGAAGTTGGCTTATGACCGAAGTCGGGGTGAAACGGTGTTCAAGCGTGAGTGTGATGCATATGCGGATTGGCTGGCCTCTCAGCCTTCGGCTGTGGAGCGACCGGAGTATGCAGTGCCGGCCGGAGTGTTACCCCGGTCACCCGAAGCCTCAGAGACGCACGGCCGCCAGCTGAGTTGTGACGAGCAGTGGGAACGTGAAATCGCTAAGCGTGAG